ACCCTGTCGCTTAATAAAATACAAAAAAGGACTAGGGATGTGACTCAGTGGTTAAGTGCCCCGAGTTCAATCCCCAGTACCAAAAAAAAAAAAAAAGAAAAGAAAAATGTAGACCCAAATTTTATACTTTGTGTTCATTTAAGTTCTAAATGGGTCAAAAAAGAGAAAGAATGAAAATACACATAATTTGGGCTGGGATTGTGGCTCTTTGGTCGAGTACTTGCCTAGCACCGGCGGGACCCAGGTTCGATCCTCAGCACCACATTAAAAAAATAAAGGCATTGTGTTGTGTCCATCTACACCTAAAAATAAATAATTTTCTTTTAAAAAAAAAAGAAAGTACACATAATTCTTTAATGGTCTCAAAATGGAATTGCTGCCGGGTGCAGTGGCACATGCCTATAGTCCCAGAGGTTAGGGAGGCTGATGCAGGAGGATCATAAAGCCAGCCTCATCAAGACACTAAGCATCTCAGTGAGACCATGTCTTTAAATAAAATACAAAATAGGGCTGGGGATGTGGCTCAGTGATTGAGTGCCCCTGAGTTCAATCCCAGGTTACCCCCACCCCCCATTAGAATGACTTTTCTTCCTTCTTTTTTTTTGCAGGGCTTTCAGATTGCTAGGCAAGTATTCTACCACTGAGCTATATCTTCAGGTAGGTCTTTTTCTTATGTCTTAATCGAGAGCCATTTTAATTTAAATTACCCATTTAATTTCATGGAAATATACCATAAGCAAAGTCAAAATACAAACCAAAAATTGATTTAAAAAATTTACAACTTATATCAAAAACCACTTTTTTCAAGACTGGGGATATAGTTTAGTGGTAAGAGTGCTTGTCCAGCATGTAAGAGGCCCTGGGTTTGTGCTACAAAAAAGAGAAAAGAACCCCAACTGAAAAGTACTCAAATATCTATCAGTAGGTGAATGATGATGAAGAATGAATGTGCTTCTATCCATACAAGGGGATATTGCTTAACAATAACAAAGACCCAACTACAGACACACATAGTAACATGTATGATTCTCAAAACCATTACAGTGGCAGAAAGAAGCTAGACACAAAGAGTACATACTATATGGTTTCATTTATGACATTCTAGAAAGGCAAAAGGTAATCAATAGTTACAGAAAGCAGATCAGTGATCACCTGGGGCTGGGACTATCCAGGCCCTCAGGGACAAGGGGGAACTTTAGTGGATGGGAATGTTCTGTCTTTCTGTAGTGCATGGCAGCTACCCAGGTGTTCACATTTGTCAAAACACATCAAATGACACATTTTATTACATGTAAATTTTACCTTCTTTAAAAATAGTAAATATATGCTACATTTTTCTGGGACTGGAAAGCCAACTTTTTTTTTTTTTTTTTGGCACTGAGGATTGAACCCAGAAGCTACTGAGCAGCTATATCCCTATCCCTTTTTATTTTGCAACAAGGACTTAGTAAGTTCAAGAGCTAGCCTCAAACTTGGGATCCTCCTGTCTCAGGCTCTGCCAGCCCCCAACTGTTAAAATATAACAAATAATTGAACAATAAACAAAAAACTAAACCAAGACTCCATTTATTCACTTACCAGACTGCCCCCCTCCCCCCCAAAAAAATCCCAAAAGTTTACTAACACAGTGTTGACATGGTTATGAGAAAAAAAAATACTCTCAATCACTTATGATGGGTATAATTCCTAATGAGGGGATTTTGGTAATATTTATTAAACTACAAATACTTTGACCCAGCAGTTTCATTTCTAGAATTTCATCCTACAGATAAACTCAACCATAGGTGAAACTACCTGTTAACGGTTAGGGATTGCAACAATGTTCAAAGTAACACAAAGCAAGAATGAGCCAATTGTCCCCAGATACAGGACAGGTTAAATAAATGACACATCCACACGGTGGAAACCTGTGTAACTACAAAAAAGAATCAAGAAAGTCTTTGTGTGCTAATATGAAAAGATTTTCAAGGGTAATGTTAGATGTACAAACAAGCATTGTGTTTGGTATGCTGCCATTTGTGTAAAAACAGCATCAACAAAAGCCCAGAGGGATGTCTGTTTGGATTTTCTTAGGTACTGTATGTATTCTAAAAACAAACTGCAGTGACCCAGCATGTAATCCCAGTCATTCTGGAAGCTGAAGCAGGAGGATCAAAAGTTTAAAGGCAGCCTCAGCAATTTAGTGAGGCCCTAAATAATGTAGTAAGACCTTATCTCTAAATAAAATACAAAAAAAAAAAAAAAAGGGCTGGGGATGTGTCTCAGTGGTTAAATACCTCTTGAGTTCAATCCCTAGTACCAAAAACCAACCATCCAACCAAACCAGGCTCAGGTGCACACTCCTGTAATCCCAATTATTCCCAAGGCTGAGGCAGGAGAATGGCTGAAAACAATTTAGCAAGACCCTGTCTCAGAATAAAAAATAAGCTGGGTGTAATGGTGCACGCCTATAATTCCAGCAGCTCAGGAGGCTGAGGCAGGGGGATCACAAATTCAAAGCCAGCCTCAGAAATTTAGCAAGGCTCTAGGTCATACAGCCAGACCTGTCTCAAAATTTAAAAAATATGAAAAGGACTGAGGATGTGGCTTAGTGGTTGAGCACCCTTGGGTTCAATTCCTGGTTAAAACAAAACAAAATAAAAATAATAATAAAAAACCCTGATAGAACCACCAAGAAACTAATAGCAGGGGAAATCCATATGAAAAAGGTGTGGGGAAGAGTATAGATGAGTTGTGTGTGAGGGACAATTTTTTTTTTTAAGAGAGAGAGAGAGGGATGACAGAAAGAATTTTAATATTTATTTTTAAATTTTCGGCGGACACAACATCTTTGTTTGTATGTGATGCTGAGGATCGAACCCGGGCCGCACGCATGCCAGGCGAGTGCGCTACTGCTTGAGCCACATCCCCAGCCCCAGAGGGACAATTCTTTTAATTTTTGAATCATGTGAATGTGTTACCTATCCAAAATGAAAATACTTATTTAAAATTAACAACAAAGACTGGGGTTGTAGCTCAGAGGTAGAGCACTTGCCTGGCACGTGTGAGGCACTGGCTTCAATCCTCAGTACCATGTAAAAAATAAATAAATAAATAAAGATATTGGGTCCATCTACAACTAAAACCTTTTTTTTTCTTTTTAATTTATAAAATAAAATAAACATCAAAGCCAGGCCTGTTTATCCCAGGTACTGGGTAGGCTAAAGTAGGAGGGCTGAAAGTTTAAGGTCAATCAGGGCAAGAGCCTAACTCCAAAAATAAAAAGGGCTGGGGATGCAGCTCAGTGGTAAAGTGCCCCTGGGGTCAATCCCCAGTGATGCTAAAAATGAAAATAAAATAGCATATTATATGTTGGTACATTAACTAGAATATTGGATCATCATCCAAGTTATTTGAAGGAAAATGTATCAAGTGCCTAGTCCAGTATGGGGACATATTCAGCACATAAACAGGGTAATTACTGTTTCTATGCTTCCCCTACAAAGTCCCTGCACACAACCTCTCTTACTTTTGGTTTCAGTTCCCCAGAAGTGCCAGCCTGCTTTTTTCCATCTGTGCTCTGCCAGGGACTTCCCCTCTGCAGGGTGAATTCCCCATCTCTTCTCAAGGTCCACATGGCAGCAGTCTCAGGCCTGGCCTCCTCAGGGAAGCCATTTAGGTGGCCTGGCCCTCCCTCACCTGTGGATTGCAAGGTGTGCTTGGTCCTCCTAGCCCAGGGGCCTTTGAACCTCAGGCTCCTGCTTCTATAATGCTGGCCTTGCCTCCTTTCACAGGGTGGAGCCGTGGCAGGTGGTGGCAGGCCTTGCTCTCCACCTAAACATCTAGAAAAGTTTCAGTTTCCCCTAAAATTTGTTGATCTTCCCACACCCATGGAGAAAACCTGAGGAGTTTCAGTTTCTCTCAAGTCATGATCTCATTTTCCTCGCTGCTCCCCCTGGTCCCTGCCAAGAGATAGTGCCAGTTTCCATGGTGAAGATGCCTGGTACTCCCAGGGCACTTGCCATTACATGTGTAGCAGCCATGGAGACATCTGCGGGTGAATTGTGCTTAGTTGGAGCTCAGCAGTCCCAGCAGAAAGGTACAGCAGCACAGACAGTGGGGAATAGGCAGTAACAGTTGAAAGAGGGGAGACAGGCAGAGGCAGAGGAGCAGCCCTACTGGGCTTCAGGGGCAGCAGTGTGGCCAGTGGGGACTTTGGAACCGAGTCCTAGGAGAGCCTTGGACAGGCCCACGAGAGGCCTCTAGGTGAGCAGAGAGGGGCAGCCAGGAGCAGCAGGCTGGGGCTGAGGAAGGTCCCGCAGCTGAGACCCAAGTTCCATGACTGCAGCTGTAAGGGACATGCTGGACTTGAAGAAGGCACCCCAGGCCAGGCAGAAGGCCCGCCAAGGAAGTGTCTGGCACCAGCAGGGAGAGGGGCAAGCTGAATGGGCCCTGGTGCCAAAGAAAAGGGCCCTAAAGGAAAGACCTGGTGCCAGAGGACAAGTTGAAGGCTGTTCCTCAAGGAGGCAGCTCTGGTTTTTGCAGTTTGGTTTTGGTTTTCCCCCTACAAGTCTGTCCAGGAAGCGAGATTTCTTAGCACTGGAGAGTCAGAGGCCCCTTCTCTGTGAGCTGGAGCACTGGAGCAGAAAGCTAGCTGGGCCAGGGCCAGGACTGGTTGCCTGTTTCCTTCTCTTCAGCAGAGAAGTTGGGCAGCAAATGGCAGTGCCCCAACTCCCCTCTTGAATGTGATAAGCCCCTCACCTATATCAAGTTAATGTTTGTAGAACCACGCCTCTCTTTCCTGATCAACCTGTATTCCCAAATATAAAGAACAGAAAGAAGCCCTGGGCCCCGCATATTGGGGCTTTGAGACTCAGGAGGAAGAACTACAGGTATATCCAGACGCTCTAGGTCAGCCTCCAGGGCCTAGGTCCTTCCTAGGCTGGTAGCAGAGGGGCATCACCTTGCAGCCCTCCTAGCCCACCCTATACCCCCATAGCCGCACTTCACTTCTTCTCTGCTCCACATTGGAAACACCACATTTATTTGTCAGAGTCTTTTAAACCTCTAGTAAGACATACAGGAACAGCAGGGCTCTCCTGCATGCTGCCCTGGCCCAGCTCATCAGGCATGCAGGATGGAGCTGGCAGATGAATCAAGGTGTCTTCAGGAGTGAGGCCATGGAAGCTGCAGGCCCTGCAGTCCCATGCCCTCCCCCACCAGCTTGGCCTAGATTGCAATCAGGAAGGTGGGCCCAGCCCAGTCCTGTTGCAGGGGCCTCTTACAGGGAGTTGCCTTCCCTCCCCCTCCCCCACCCTCTTAGATCCCCTCAGCTTGTAGCCTGAGCCATGCACTTTGATCCTTCACACAGGTACCACACCAGCTGCCATCAGGCTGGTTCTGTGTGTCCTGCCTCTCCTGTCAGGTAGTCGGCTGGACAGGGCAGTCCTGGCTCTCCTGTCCTTACTCTGTGTAGCCAGCTCAAAGCTGGGCACTTGGTGGGGGCAAAGGCCTGTCAGATAACCACTGCAGGCAGGAACTCCCAGCTGCTGCTGGCCCCCAGCCTCCATCCATGGGCTCCTGATTGGCCCTGAAACTCTTCAGGGCCTCAACTTTCTACAGTGCAGATCAACACCTCCTCCTTCAAGAAGCCCCCTAGCTTAGTGCCAGACTTGAGGCTGGGCAATGGATGGTCAGCCAGGGCTGCTACTTCAGGGCCCTTAGGACTGCCTCCAGCTTCATGGCCACTGCCAGGTCGCCCTTCACCTTCAGTCGCCCACTCATGTAGGCCCCCAGGGGCCGCAACTCCCTGCACAACAGAGCCCGCAGGTCTGCCTCAGCCATCTCCACCACCACGTCGGGGACACCTTCAGGAACCCCATGTCCCACCCTGCCTCGCCCTGTAAGTGGAAAGAAAACTGAGCATTAGTAGGGATGTGGGAAGACAGCTATGGAAGGAAGAAGAAGTTAGCATGTCCCATTGGAAGGAGCAAAGAATACTGGTTAGGAGTTTAGGTTCTAGGGCTGGATCATAGTTCAGTGGTAAGAGCACCTGGTTAGCATGCACAAGGCCCTGGGCTCCATCCCCAGCACATGTGCACACAAACAGTTTGGGTTCTAATACCCTGGATTCTAATCCTATAGGCCACTTGGTGCCTCAGTGTGCAAATCTGTGAAGGGGACAATGAGCCCTAAATCAAAGCTAATGGTGAGAAGTAGGTGACATAATGCACAAAAGTGCTCAGCACAGAGCCTGGCATGTGGCAGGCTTCCTGCCACATGAGGAGTTCACTCAGGGAGGTGACAGAACAGACTTACTCAGTATCAGCAGCCTGGCTGTCTCAATTGTCCTCCCACAGCAGAGAGAGCAAGGCCCAGAAAATTATTGTCTAGAAATGGTGTCAGAGCCCCTGACTGCCATGGGTTCATCCCAAACTGGTGGCAGGAGTAGGAAGCCTTGCTCCTACAGGGTGTTTGGGAGCGGCCTAAAAAACAGCCATGGGATCAGGTGTATAAACAACTGGGTATGAGGGGGATGCGGGGAGGGCAGCTGCACCTGTGGTGAGATCCAGGAAGTAGATGCTCTGGGTGCCACTGGGAAGGATGACATTGAACTGGTAGCAGGCCCCAACCTGGCTGACCAGCACTTCAGACAGGAAAGGCTCCAGAGCAGTCAGCAGCCCCTCAGCCACAGGCTGCTTCAGGCCCTGAGATGCAGGTGGCTCCACTTCGCTCACCATCTCCAGGGTATCTGCTGGGGTGGCCAAAAGTGCTGGAGAGGGAGGCAGAGAGGCAGATCAGTGTGTTCCCAGGGACAGGTGGCCTCTGCCTCTTTTGGCTTCTGATCAACTTGCTTCCCTGCCAGGAGGCTGCCCCCAGGTTTCTACCCTAAACACCCAAATCCTGTTTCTTAGCTGTTCCAGCTGAGATCAGATGTGAAGCCCTCTTTCCAGCTACTGCTATCTCCTCTCACGGTGGCTGCCACAGGCCTCTCCACACTCACACAACCTGGACTCTTCTCACTGCCCTAGCTTGGGTTGACCCTAGAATAAGCATGGGTCAAAAGACAGGCAGAGTGTGCACTGTGCTTGGAGCAAGTAGCGAAGTCAGCTCCATGCCAAACTGAACAGCACCTCCCTCCTGCTACCCAGGTTCCTCACCTGGCCCAGCAGATGGAGTACCTCCTGCCACTGAGTTCATGCCCCCTCCCAGCAAGTGGAGGGCCAGCTGCTGGAGGGTGCTGTCCAGGCTGGACCCGGCTGGGCTGTCCTGGGGCTGCTGTAGCACGGCCTCCACTGCCAGCTCCACGCGGTCCACCTCTAGCCCCCAGGCCCTGGTCACATCGTTGATCTCCAGCTGAAGGACAGTAGGGAAGACATGGAATTCATGCAATAAACCTTTTCTGAGCACCTTCTTTGGGTGGGCCACTATGGCCACATGTGGACCTGGAGGTCCCACACCTGTCCTTAGGGAGCACAGGCAGGGGATGCTGACAGTCCAGCTGTGCAAGTGCTCAAACAAGGAGGAAGGAGGGCTGGCAGCAGGGAGAGTGACACTGGCAGTGGGGGACTCTCCAGGTGGAGGACCTTCCAGGCAATAAGAACAGCATGCGCAAAGCCCAAAGAGGAGAACCTGGAAGTCTGGGCACTTCAAGCAGCCAGAGTTCCAATTAGTCAGAACCTAAAGTGTGGGCTGGGGGACCTGAGACAGCTGAAGTCTCAGAGGCAGCCTCCTCCTACTCACTTGGATTTCTTCTGAGGCAACAAGGACATCAGAGAGGAGTTCACTCAGGGAGGTGACAGAACAGACTTACTTTTTGGAAACACCCTCCTGGCTGCTGTGTGGACACTGAATTGGATGGGCTTATGATGGAGGCTTGGGGACCAAACGGCACTGTTTCAAATTGCAGGAAGAAAGCATACAGGTTTGGTGGAGGGAAGAAGGGTGAAGTGAAGCAGAGACTCACTGAGGGAGCACAACTCTGCCAACTGCCAAGCTGCAGCAGGCACAGGGCCATTTGGCTTATGGCTGCCTGGGTGTGCCATGGCATAGAGGACAGGGGAGGGGGAAACAGGCTTCTGGTGTGGTTTTCCTGGGCTCATGAATATGGCATTTACTTAGAGACTCACACAAACAGGATGTGGAGAGGTATGTGTGATAAGTGCTCTTTTTTTTTTTTTAATTCTGAAAGTTTTGGGTGTCTGTGGGAGAGCAAGGGTCCCACAGGAAGCTGGATAAATGGGAGCAAAGTGCAGGAGAGTCAGACTGGACTGTGTGCCGTGAACAATAAGTGCCCAGAGGAAACAAGTCCTGGGTGGCTGACAGATGAGAAGGGGACAGTGCAGGAACCTGGACAATGAAAGTCAGGAGAACTAGCAAGGTCAAGGGGAGCAGAAGAGGAGGAGTCACACACACAAACACTGCCATCAGGTGAAGGAAGGGAAGGCTGAGAAGTGTCTGCTGGGCTGGGAAAAGGGAGGTCACCATGTCACCACAGCTATCTTAAGAGCTTGGGGAAAGCCTGACTAAGGATGGGATGAGAGAAATGGGAGTCTTCCAGAAAGGAAGGGAAGAGAGGTAAGAGCTAGAGGTGAAGCAGGCAAAAGGAGAATGTTTCTGTGCATTAAAGAGGGAAGAAAGAATAAAGAGACAGTGAACCTGAGTGGAGGGAGAGAGGGAAGGAGAGAGAGGGGGAGTCCTGGAGAAGGTAGGGCCCAGAGCACTGTCCTATGAAGAGATGAGCCTCAAGAAGGGCATGCAGGCAAGAAATGAGTAAGGAAAAGCATGCAGAAGGGTGTGGAGGTTGAAGTTGGAGGCCAAAAGATTCCTGTCTGAGAGTTTGTTTTTTCTTTTTTTCTTGCATGTAGAGGCAGGATCTGCTGCAGAGTGATGGGGTGGCCAGGCTGCAGAGAAGTGGAGCCACCTGAGAACACTAGCGGGTGAGCCACTGAGGAGGCGCCAGCAAGTGAGGGGCAGTCTGCAATCCCTTCAGAGGAAAAGTGGGCAAAAAAGAAATGAGGTTGAAAAATCCCTGCCTGAACCAGGGCTGGGAAGATTCTGCTTCAACCTCAGGTGCTGCCCTTGCTTTGCCAGGTGCCCACTGAGTATGGGCAATGGCCCTGAGTAATTCTCACATAACAGGATGGACTGCCCCTTTCACACCAGGGCAATTTTTAACAAGGTAGAGATCCACTTTTCTTTTCCTAAAGATAAATATAATGGAATATGGGTTTGATTTTTTTTTTGCTACTGGAAATTGAACTCAGGGGCACTCGATCACCAAGCCATAACCCCAGCCCTATTTTGTATTTTATTTAGAGACAGGGTCTTAGCGCCTTGCTTTTGCTGAGGCTGGCTTTGAACTCACAATCCTTCTGCCTCAGCCTCCTGAGGGTGTGAGGTTTTATGAATAAAAATATGTTATCAACTTATTGTCTGAATTGTATTAGATCAAACACTCTGTTGAGGGTGGGGGATCAAGGGCTCTGGCTCTGGTCCAGCTCTTTGCGTGTAGGCAAGTGGGGAAGTAATGGGAATTGACCTCAGGGGTGCTCTTCTACTGATCTACATCCCAGTCCTTTTTATTTTTTGAGACAGAGTCTTACTAAGTTGCCCAGGCTGGCCTCAAACTTGCCATTCTCCTTCCTCAGCCTCCTTGGCTACTGGGGTTACAGGTGTGTGCCATCATGCCCAGCCAGTTGTGGCTCTTAAAGGCAAGTTGAATCATTTCTGAGTCTGGGTTTCCACCCTCCAGTAATACTGGCCCTCTTGCTGCAAAAATGTGAAGATGAGATACTCTGGGGCAAGCACTGGGCTCTGTGAACCACGACAGACAGAGTATGTGAGGGCTATTGTTACAATCAGGAGTAACCTTCTGAGGAACTTCACCTAGCTGGCTGCTTGCTGACCTCCTTGATGGAGTGAGCTGGGGATCTCCAGAACTGGCATTCATCCCACTCCCTCTTTGTCCTCTAATCCCATACCCCTGGTGGAGGGGAAAGAGGGAAAAGTTCTCTCATTTTCCTTCATGAGGACAAGCAAAAGGGAGGAAGCACAAGTTGAGTGTGGCTGTGAGAGACATGCCACTGCTCCTGCACTTATGTTTATCCTATCTTTTAGAACAAAGAATTTAAGGTGAATTCCATGTAGATCATTTTCATATACATGGAGAAAATCCAAGAAAAAGATCAAATGTCTCCATGTTTCTTTGTTCTGTTCCAATCGAGAAAAATCAGCCCACAAAAATGCATATGCTCCCTTATGAGCACAGAACTCTCATCAGGGGGTTGGGCTGGAAGGGTCCCCCTCCTATCACCCACCACCCACCCTGAGAGTTGGGCCCTGACTCCAACAGGAACTGCAGAGGGCCCTGAGGCCTCATGCTGATGTCAGAGCAATGAAAGACAGAACCTCAGCAGTCAGAGGCAGGGTCCTAGGAGTTCCTGCAGAGGTGCTTTCCTTTATTAGGACCAAGTGTGCCCAGGATTACTATGACTAGGCTACCTTCTATTCCTCAACTCAGATCACTGGATCAGCAGAGGTGATTACACTCTTGGCACAAAAGGTAAACTAAAGTTAGAACAAACTGGTGTTTGCTCAAAGTGACCAGGTGCCAGCTCTGAGCTCTACCTTGTGAGGAGCCGCCTACCAGGAGCTGATCGCTGATCTTGAGCTTCTCCATCTGGATCTCCCGCAGCGGCCTTCTGAGCAGGGCCTTGGTCATGGCATTCTGGGCTGTCATGCGCGTGGCTGTATTTAGGTCCTTTACAGTCATCACCGACAGCACTGGGTCCCAGATACGGAACTGGACATCAGCCCCCACAGACAGCACAGCCCCATCCTTAGAGGCCAACTGTTGGGAGTGGCCATGAGAGAGAAAGGACAATTAGGAGGCTGGGGCTACAAGGAGGTCATGCCCACTGGGACCACCCAATTTGACCCAACCACCTGGCAGATAACTCCTTAAAGGCAAAATGGTGTCCCCAAGTACATGGGATCAGGTGTAAAGAGTGAGGATGCCCTCCTAGCTTTTACTTTGACTTTCTGTTCTCTTCTCCCACTCTCCCAGAAGGCTATTTTCAGGCCAATGCCCTAGCACCCATAGAATACTCTCCATAAGGCCCTATTCTGTCTGTCCAGAGCAGCTGGGAAGTCTCTTACCTTGCAAGGAGGAACATTGAAGGCTCGTGTCCTCAGATCCACTCTCTGAAAGGAGTCAATGAAGGGCAGGAGCAGAACCATGCCAGGTCCCTGGGGGGTGCGGATCCGGCCCAGTCGAAACACAATCATCCGCTCATAGGTGGGCACAATCTATCCACAATGGTAAGAAAAAGAGTTGGAAGTGAGGGCTGACATTGTGGCTCAGTGGTAGAGTGCTTGCCTAGCATGCGTGAGGCACTGGGTTCGATCCTCAGCACCACATAAAAATAAAATAAAGGTACTGTGTTCACCTACAACTAAAAAATATATTTAAAAAAAAAAAAGAGTTGGAAGTGGTCTGCCTAAGCTGGCCAGTGACATTTTCCCAGATCCCTCCTCTCCCCTCTCCCCTTTGCTTGGTCACAATCAATTATCCTTAACTGTTTTTAGATAAGAAAACCAAGGCTCAGAGAGGTCAGGCTCAGAGAGGTCCTCAGAAATCACATAGCACCTGAGTGAAATAGGCACTATTTGAATGCAGTTCTGAATGACTCCAAAGGTCATATGTCTTAATCACCACACTGTACTAACTTGATTTTTTTTAAAAGTAGTTTTTAGTTTTATATAGACACAATATCTTTATTTATTTTTATGTGGTGCTGAGGATTGAACTTAGTGCCTCCCACATGCCAGGCAAACACGCTACCAGCCCCTAACTTTTTAGGGAAACTTCACCTTTGTTGTCTAAAGCTAGACATGACTCACATCAGGAAACTGTCTGCCCTTGGATTAGCTGGGGGAAAGGCTGAGCTGTTGTAACAGCAAACAAAAGGCTTTGCCAACTTCAGGTTGGCAAAGAATCCTAAAGATGTTGAAGAAATTGAGAACTGAAGACCCAGAAATACACAGTAATCTGTCCAAAGCCACACAGTATTTATTTCAGTGGCATTTCAGAACTAGGATCTAGGATCATCAAAGAACTCCCTTTCAGATCACACAAACCTAGAGTCTTTCTAGAAAAGGTGACTATTGTCTTGGGCCACACAAAGAGGAGGGCCTGACAGGGCTTCCACCTTCACCACAGCTTGCAGGTATAGATCTATTACTTATCCTTTTTCCATCTATACCACCACTTGTTGAAAATGAGGCCTGGCTTCCTACTGCAAATTGCCTGCTGGGCCAGGTTGGGTGTTTTATTTCTAATTTGACCTAGCCCAAAGGAAGGATGATCTGCCCAAGATATCTGTCCAGATCCCAGGACTCAGAAATTTGGGAAGACTTCCTAATGGTTCTACTCCTTACTGATTTCCATGATGACAAGTCTGGGCCTCAGTTTTCTCATATTAAAGATGGAAAGAAAATTCTTGCCTTGCCCCTTTCATAGAGTTGTGATAACAGAATATGGAGAATTCATTCATCAATGCCAAAAACTTCAATATGACCCAACCACTCTAGGACTGACCCAGCCAGTCTTACCTTCAGGGCAAACCAGCCAGAAATGGGGAAGGTGATCAGCAGCAGCAAGAACCCCAAGAAACTGATGAGGCCATGGCAGAGGCAGGAGGGCCAGCTTTGGGGTATATCTGGGGGCAAGAGAGAACAGGCAATCAAGGAACACCAGATGGCCTGGCAGGACAGCTGTGTACAAGGAGTTTGGTCAGGTGTACCCTTTGCCTACTTTACCTTTCTCACAGTTCTCAATCATATCTTTGGACACATGCTCATTCCCTCCTCCCATACATCAAAACTAATCTATCCCAAGTACAACCCTCACAGTATTCTTTGCTAGGCAAGTCTCTGAACCTGAGAATCCAATGCTGTCCTTACTGTACTGAGCAGGAATCAATCCCTTGTCTAATTTATACTGCCTACTCATGCCTGTCATGGAGCCAGGAGTACCTGGGCATCTTTAAATGTGTGCTGGCTTGAGCTGAATGCTGTAGGCATAACACATTCCTCCTCTACCAAATGCGCCAGAAGACCGCTTTCAAGGGATTCTTATGGAAACAATGCCTTAGCCTATAGGGATAGGGATACAGCATTAATTTCTCATTAATAGGAGCCTGAGATGGGGATAAAATTTTCTTTTCTACTCTTCACTCCATTTTAATGCCCTAAGAACCATCAAAAATGCATATTTCAATTCAAGCAGTTTGATGGTGGTGGTGGTTGGAGTGTGGAGGGGGCAGGTAGGAAGATGAGGCACATCCAAACTAAAGAGAGAACCAGGTGTCCAGGATGACAGAGAAAGCCCTAGAATCTGGGATGAGCTTATTCTCTGCTCCTCTTCTTCCAATCCTGGACAGGAAGCAGAAAGGAACCTCGGTTCCATCTTTCATGAAGCTCATGTCTGCTGGGTTTCCCAAGCCCCAGGACACCAAGGTTCCACTTCCTGCCTGACCCACTCTGACCCACTGTGACCTCTGCAGGAAAGAAATCCTTGGACAGGAGCAGCTGTCAGTACAGAAGGGTCAGGGAGGCACCAAACCTCCAAGGTCAGGCTGAGAAGTATGGGATCTGGCCTGTGGCCAAAGGAACCACAGAGAGCTTTGGAGCAAGACAGGGCGAGGACAGGCAATGGATTGCTGAAGGCCTGCCTTTTTGTTCTGTGTATCTTCTCCAGCTACAAAGGAGATGGCAGGTCCCTGGGTTTCTACCCTGGGGTGAATATTCTTCCATTTCTCCACAGGCGCCTGTAGGGTGCTGATGACCTATGCATAATCGGAACTTGAAACCTCTGTCCTGATAAAAGCCGAGGAGAAATGTCATGCGGTTAATTTCGGGAAGATGGAAGCTACGCTGGCTCTGAGGCTGCAGTGCCAGGCCCCTAGGGAGAGCAGATCAGCAGAAACACCCCAGCGCCGGGCCCAGCCCCCTCTCCACTTTGCAAGTCGTTCCCCTTCTCGGTCCCTCCTCAGAGGGTGTGAGGCCGGCCGACTCCTTAGGGGCAGAGGGTTCCGGCCTGTGGGTACTGGCCAGTCTTCCCCTCTCCCAGGTTCGCCGTCCTGGGCGACCACTCACCGGACCCCGGCCCCACGCCGCCCCGCTCTGGGGACAAGCAGCCCTTCTGCGAGCCCAGAAAGCCGAAGCTCGACTGCTGGAAGCGGTCAAAATCCCCCAAGGGCAGCGCCCGGTACCCGGACCTGCCGAGCATGATTCCTGACGGGGACACACCCCCGCGCCTCTGCGCGGCCACAACCTCTGCCGGCCGCCGCTTCCGGCTTCCCCGGCGTCGCCACGGGCGGCGGCTGGGCACAGGAGCAGGAGGCCGACCCGGATCCGCGCCCGCTGTAGCATGGCGACCCCTGCGGTGGGAGGACCGAACTGTGGCCTGATTTCTTGGCAGCCCGCGGGGTCATTGCCACCTCCTCCCAGATCTTACCTGAACTTAGAAATGGAGGAGGGAAGTTGGGCTTCATAAGAGGACATTCAGGAGCCAAATCTCCAGAACAAAGGAAATGCTGTTTTCAGCCTTCTCAACACTCTCTGTCCAAACTCACGCAGGGAGCGAGGTCTTAATAGACTTAGGGTTTCTCTAGAACATACATCACAAAATAATTGCTCTCTGTTCCCACAGCTCAGCAAGCAGGGCCTGCACCAGAACAGATCTCAGTACATATTGTTGAATGATGGTGTAACCTGGTCACTATGGACAGAGTGGAGCGGGAAGGGGTGAACTTTGACACCAAAAGAACAATTTCATGTGCAGACACAGGGTGCAGAGTAGAAGGAAAGGATGGACTAAAGCTAACAGAACAGAGTCACCAGAACATCACAGCACAGCCCTTGATCCAGTCACCAAAGGAACTTGCCTCTCTAATTTACATTAACCCAAATGTAAATAGCAAATTTATTCCGAAAAGTGTTAACTTCCAACAGGATGTTGGGGCAGGCTGGGAGCAGGTTACCTTCCAAAACAGCCCCAACAGATTTGAAGATAGCCCATCCCAGAGAAGTGATAAGCCCATCCCAAAAAGTGATAATTAAGTCCTTCCTGCCCAGATTACTTGTTTGGCCCACCTGTGTCCCACCGATCTGGCCTTCCAACCTACATTCCATCACCAAAACTATAAAAGGGGAGACAACCGCACTTCCACGGATTCCACCTCTTGGGTCCCCTTCTTCCTCCGGGAGAAGTCTTTTCTGCTGTCCTTTAATAAACTTCTAATTTATACTCTGACCTTGCCTCGGTGTGCTTCTTTGGTGTTATTCTTCAATATTGGGGAAGCAAGGACTCGTCACCGGTCAACAGCCGTAACACTAGCAGCCACCAGTCAGCATGAGACAGGGAAATATCTGGGATGCCAGGTGACCCTCCCAGTAGTTTATTGTGTTGGGAAACCTTGTAGTTCAGCATGAACACCCCTCTTGGCTTAAACCAATCAGTTCAAACGAATCCCCCTCTTGTAGTAACCAATCACCCCTACCCAACTTGTTCCTGCCAGTGAATGTGCTAATCATGTTTTAGAGTTGTTGTTTGATTTTCCCGGGTGTGTGATGATTTGCTAAGAGATGCTATGATGTATGTGGGGGTCCCTGCCTTCTCCAAAGAATGTATAAAACTGCTGCAAACCCTGGGCACGGGGCCTCTCAGCGTCACCAGTTGCTGTGTGTGTGCTCACACGCGGAGGCCCGAGCTAGCTCGCAATAAACACCTCTTTGCTGCTTACATCCATCTTGGGTCTCTGGTGGTCTTTTGGGGATCCCGAATTCGAGCATAACACCCCTCTCCTAGGATGATCCAACTAAGTTGTCAGAGAGACTGTCCTAACACACACTGCTGATGGTGAGATTCCTGGGTTCCAAACCCTTCACAAACTTCCTTCACCTACAAAACTGGTCCAGTCTCCTTAGTACACTCCTCATGAGTTCCCTCTTAAATCTGAAAGTGGCCCAAACTACCTCGCCAACAGGCTCTCCTGTTTCAAACCTCCATACCTTTTGCCCAGCTGTTTAGTGTTCCCCACCCCTCTCCAGCCCCGCCCGCCCCGCCCAGTCCCTTCATCCTTGTTGAATTCCCGCTGCTTGCTCAAATCCCAAATGAGTAATCAATCTCCTTTCCAGCCAGTCCCCATACTACGCGACAGTCTCCTTTTGGGGGCTGGTTCTTCTACTAGATCTGGGGTTCTTTGAAGCAAGGGCCGTGTGTGGTTCATCTCCGGATCCCAGGGCTCCAGGTACCAGCTAGGGTGGGCACAAAGTTAGGTCCAAGGTGATATGTATGAATGACTCAAAGCCTCTCTGGCGGAATGCTCAGCCTCGCTTTCTCTAACGGAGCTCAGCCACGCCTCCCCTGCTCTCCTCCCAGCTCCGCTCCAGTCTTCAAAACCCACAGCCCGCCTCTCGGCGCCTAGGCCCGCCCCAGCCCTGTCTCACTTCCTCTCCGGAGGCGGGCCCTCGGCCGGTACCTCCCTTTTGGAGACTGTCCGGGAGACCGCCTTCTGACTGACGCCACGAGTTGGGTTTCTTCTCCCGCCTTCCAAGATCCAAAAGGAGGATCCAAACGGAGAATCGAAACTGCGCTGGGCTGTATGCAGCAGGAACCTGCAGCCGCCGGATCTCCTGGCCTCCAGCAGGACCCTGTCCTGCCTCATACGCCCACCATGCCTCCCCCGGAGTCCCCCTCCGAAGGCCACCAGCCCAGCCACAGCCCAGCAGAGGTATTAATGGGTTTGGGGATGAAGGGGTTTAGGCTTTGTTGGTTTGCTGTGGTGGGAGAGTTGCGAAGAGTAATGAAGATCGAGGCCAGGTATCTTAAAGAGTGATACTAAGAGCGAAGGCCAGACATCAGGGTCCTGACCCTCTTGGTTGGGGTAGCCAAAGGGCCTGATAGAGTAGGAAGGGGAACCAAGATGAGCTGGAGGGACTGCTTTGGACTGTGGTTCTCCACTGAACAGTTTGGGAAATGGGATGGGTCAGTAGCAGCTGTCTGCTCTTTCCACTTACCCTGGAGCCTTGCCTTTTCCCAGATGATGGACCCCAGGTTAGGGAGAATACAGGTAGTAGCCCTATTGCACTGACCTGGAGCTAGAGGCATGCCCCAGGCACGGCAAAACCACAACACCCAAGTTTCCAGATCAGAAATGAAGAACTGTAACCCAGAAGGGAGAGGTTTCCGTGGCCAAGGCCTAGCTCCAGCTCATGTGGTTTCTTCTTAAGGAAGTCTCCCAGTCTTTCTTTCAGAACACCCTTCCTGGCCACCTCTGACCCACAAGTGAGTTTGTTAAGTCCTTCTTCTGCAAGTTTTGCCTTAGCCTTCTCCTGGAGACCCTCACCTTCACCCCCAAAGGAACTACTTGGCACCTTGTTGTATGTTTTTCCGGGCCCTTTTGCTCCCCTTCATGAGAGCACAAATAACATCATATTGCTATAACTTTTATTATTAGCATTTTAAAACTAAGAATAACATTACTTAACAATACTGGTTAAAATTTATGTGCCAAGTACTGTATTGAGAGCACTTTTGTGGGACTTTTGTGTATGTGTGTGTGTGTGGTGAACTACACATACCATAAAAGTTACCATATTAACCATTTCTAACTGTATAATTCTGTGACATTAAGTTCATTAATAATGTTGTGTAACCATCACCACCATCTATTTCCAGAACTTTTTCATCACCTCATAAACCTGTACCATTTAAGCAATAGCTCCTTTGTTCGCTGATAATTTCTAATTTACTTTTTGTCTCTATGAACTCGACTATTTTGGATATTTTATGTAAGTGGAATCTCTCAGTATTTCTCCTTTTGTGTCTGGCATTTCACTTAGCATAATGCCTTCAGGGTTCAGGTATCAGAATTTCATTCCTTTTTAAGGCTGACTAATATTCCATTATTGTATGTGTAGACCACATTTACTTTATTCATTCATCTATTGATGAACACTTGGGTTGTTTCCTCTTGGATATTGTGACTAATGCTGCTATGTACATTAGTGTACAAATATCTGTTTGAATCATTGTTTTTAGGTCTTTTTCAAGTATATATCTAGGAGTGGAATTGCTGGGTCATATAATAGTTCTAAGATTAACTTTTTGAGCCTCCTCACAAACTGTGTTAATGAGATTGGTGTTTAGTATATTCACCGTCTCAACTGAGTTCATTGCAGGCAAGGATGTATCCTATGCATTTTTATATCCCTGGGCCTAATACTCTGTCTGATGGGAAAGTAGATTGTATGATGAGATTAAGAAGGCATGAATAAATGGGGGAATTGGGGGCCTGATAGGCCAGGATTTTGCATCATTAAATGACTGCCTGGAATGGAATGTGAGCTCTTACTCTTGACTTCCAATTGAATGGGCTGGTGGCCAATGGGTGGGGACTCCTGGGACTTCTAGCCTCACCTCCCTTTCTTTGGTTCTCCAGCAATCCATGGAAGAGGAGTTCCAGTTCCTGCACTGCCAGGGATGCCAGGCACCAGCCAAGTGCCCCAAGCTGCTGCCTTGCCTGCATACCTTGTGCTCAGGATGCCTGGAGGCTCCGGGCCTGCAGTGCCCCATCTGCCAGGCGCCCCGACCCGAGGGCGAAGATGACTCCCCGCCTTTGGATAACATATTCTTCGAGAGCTTACAGCGGCGCCTGTCCGTGTACCGGCAGATCCTGGATGCGCAGGCGGCTTGCACCCGCTGCAGAGAACCGGCTGACTTCTGGTGCTTTGAGTGTGAGCAGCTCCTCTGCTCCAAATGCTTTGAGGCGCACCAGTGGTTCCTCAAGCATGAGGCACGTCCCCTGGCCGAGCTCCGCAGCCAGTCAGCTCGTGAGTTCCTGGATGGCACCCGCAAGTCCAACAACATCTTCTGCTCCAACCCCAACCACCGCACCCCTGCGCTGACTAGGTGAGTGTACAGCCCTGGGTGGGTGGCCCCACGGGTAGGGGCTGGGGAGAGCAAAGAAGAAAAAAGTCACACAGAGGCAGACAAGGAGTCACACAGAGGCAGACAAGGAGCTTTTAGGGCTTCACAGCTTAAAATGTGGTCAGAGGACCCGCAGCCTCTGTGGCAATGACCTCAGTTTGTGCTATAAGTCCCCACGTGGATGAATAGTGTAATTTCTAGAAGTGCCACTGCTGGGCGAAGAAGCGTGAACATTTTACGTTTTGATATATATTACCAAACTGCCCTTTAGAAAATCTTATAGTGGTCTTTTTCCTAAGTGCCAACAGGGAATCTCAGGCGGATTTCTAGGATTAGACACAGGTATTTGTTTCTATCTGAAAAGTCCAAATCCTAAGGCTTGGCGGTGCTCTCTAGGAAAGTATATATGAAAAGAAAACCAAACAAAATTCCCCAAATCCGCTTATAATTATTGTCATTAAACAGCAGATGTTCATTTCATTTTTAAATAGGTAATACATTTATATGGTTCACAAATAATTTACACAGTCTCCATTCTATTCCTATCTGCCTAATTTCCACCTCTTCTTCCTCCCTCTGGTTGTGAGTAGTCCTTGTTACTAGTTTTGAATGTTTCTTTGCAGTTTCTTTGTGAACATATGTATAGATAGGATAGTCTTATAAGGTCTTGTTTCCCTCTCTTTTAGCCAATAAGGTAGCATACAAAACTGAACTTTTGACCAAATAGATTGATATATAAGGCTCTTCCTAATACATACTGTATAGTTCTTGGAGATCCATGTGCAAAGGGAAGTTATTCCTTGTTCATTCTGACATATTGAAAACGACTGTACTTTCCTGATAAACTGCCTTACGGCAGAGCCCTCCCTGTTCCTCTTTCCTCAACAGCTTATAGTAATAATTTGCATTTCTTTTGCTGATTGTTAAGGTCCAATGGCTGTTTTAGCTACTGGGTTTCTCTGTGGGTTTCCTCAGGTACCTCCCTTTAGTTCTTAAATAAGCAACTTTGTGAGTTGTTTATTTAGATCCTTTGCCTGTCCCGCACCTTGGAGGAATTATTCCCTTTATTTGTGTAAGAAGTTATTACACTGCAAATATGTTTTCTCGGCATTGACCTTTGTCATTTCACTTAGCACGCGGCATAGTGTTTCACATAGGTCTTTAGTATTATGTAGTCAAATCTGTCCATTTCTTTCTTTATGATATAGTGGCTTTTATGCATCCCAGGAAAGAGTTGTCCCCCCCATGCCAATGTTAAAAATGTTCTCCTATATTCTATTTCAATAATTTCATATTTTAGGTGCTGTGGGGGTGTACCTCAGTGCCCCAGCACCACACACACACACACACACACACACACACACACACACACAAATAAATAAATAATAATTTAATGGCTTTGTTTTTATAATTCAATCTTTAATTTATATGGAATTTGTTTCTGTGCACGATATAAGAATTATTGCTTTGTTTTTCTCTCCAAATGGATTTTTTTTTTTAAAATCAGGGATTGAACCCAGGTATGCCTAACCCCAGCCCTTTTTATATTTTATTTTGAGACAGGGTCTTGCTAAGTTGCTTAGGGTCTGGCTGAGTTACTGAGACCAACTGAACTTGCAATCCTCCTGCCTCAGTCTCCTGAGCCACTGGGATTACAGGCCTGTAGTAGCCTAGCTTCAAATGGAAAAACAGTTCTCTCCACTGCATTTATCAGATACTCACTGTGCCCTCATCTGAAATGCCCTTTATTTATTTTTTATTTTTTATTTTATTTTATTTTTTTATATGGTGCTGGGGATCGAACCCAGTGCCTCACGCATGCTAGGTAAGCACTCTACCACTGAGCCACAACCCCATCCCCTAAAATGCCCTTTTAAATCTTTTTTTTTTTTTTTTTTTTTTTAGTTGTAGTTGGACACAATGCCTTTGTTTTATTTATTCATTTTTATGTGGTGCTGAGGATTGAACCCAGGGCCTTGTAACAACACCTAGGTGAGCCCTCTACTGCTGAGCCACAACCCCAGCCCCCTTTTAAATCTTATACTAAATGCTTATGTAGTCATGAGTGTGTTGTAAATCTCTGTCCTATGCCAATGATCTAACTGACTCTGTTCTTTTTTTTTTTGCTTTTTCCCATTCTTCAAAACTTATTTTCCTTTTACAGTTTATACAGTTTCAAAACTTACATGTTCATTGGGATTTCAATTGAAATTGCATTAAATCTGGGGATAATTGGCCTTATCCCAGATTATTTCTTTTGGATTTTATAGTTTTATTAGCATAGGTCTTGAATTTACAATTTGTAATACTCAATAATGAGATCTTTTTACATTACAATTTATAACTGATTATGATTAGTCCTCACTAATCTTAATTTATGTAAATTAATATCATATTAAGCCATCTATCAAGTTCTCTTATTATCTCTGTTAAGTTTTTCAGTTGATTTGCTTGGATTTTCTAGGTTAACAAATCTGAAAATGGTAGGGCTTTTCATTTTCTGGATACTCATACATGTTGCCACTTTTTATAGCTTTGTTTCATTGTCCAGAACCACCAGAACAATATTGCATAATAGTGATTAGAAAAGGCAACTTGATCTTGTTCCTATCTTTAAAGAGAAAGTTTCTAATATTTTCTTGTTAAGTATGATGTTTATTGTTGACTTCCTTAGGTAATTTCTTAAAATCACATTAAGAAATTTATTTTTTGTACTTGGTTTACCAAGAATTTTGTTGTTACTATTCTTTTGTTTTTGTTACTGTTGTTTTGCAGGCTGGGGATCAAACCCAGGGCCTGACACTCCCTAGGCAAATGTTCTGTCACTGAGACAGGTTCTAAGCCCCAATATTGTTTCATTTTTACCACGGGAAGAGATGTCCTTTAGGACTCTGTAAGGGTATCCTTTCACTTTTTACTATGAAAATTAATTTAATATGTGTTTCTTTATGTTGCCCATTGTTTAATTACCAGAAGGAAAAACCCTACTTGGTCATGATGTTCTATTATTTTAATTCACAGCTAGTTTCCATTTAATAATATTTGTTTAGGCTATTTTCTATATCCATAAATATAATACATTTTGTGTGTGTGTGTGGTACTGGGAATGGAACCTAAGACCTTGCATTTGTTAGGCAAGTACTCTACCAAAGAACCACATCCCCAGATCTTCTTAAATTTTTATCTTGAGAGAGGGTCTCTTTTAGTTGCCCAGGCTGGCCTACTAACAATCCTCCTGCCTCAGCCCACCATGTAGCTGGAATTACAAGCATGCACCACTGTGCCTAGCTATAAAGTTAATCAATTTTGTATAAAATATGTGTGATTTGTCAGGTTTTCTTATACATTTTATACTAATTTTTTTTTAATTTGTAAGCTTTCATTGTTTTGAATATGATAATATGTTCTCGGTAGTTCAAGGGATATTGGTCACAGGACCGCTCCCCACCTCAAACACACTTCCTGCATGTACTCTAAATCACCTCTAGGTCACTTATAATACCTAGTACAGTGTGAGTGCTATTTAAATAGTTGTTATGCTGTATTATTTAGGGAATAATAAGAAAAAAAAGTCTGTATATGTATATGTTCAGTACAGATGCAATTTTTAAGAATACTTTTGATCTGTGGTTGGTTGAATCCACAGATGTAAAACCTGTGGACACAGAGGGCTGACTGAATGTGTGTACAAAAGTTTTTTTGTGTATGTGGTACTGGGATTGAATCCAGGAGTGCTTTACCACTGAGCTACATCTCCAGCCCTATTTATTTATCTTAATTTTAAGACAGGGTCTAGCTAAATTGCTGAGCTTGAACTTGCCATCTTCCTGCCTCAGCCTCCCAAGTTGCTGGGATTGCAGGCATGTGCCACTACACTTGGCTTACAAGTAGTTTCTATATATACACCTGCATATATTTGTACATATACATGTATAGGTACACACATTAGAATCTATTTTGTCCATCACTATGAAGAATAAAATATGATTTTTGTTCCAGCCAAAATAAAACCTTTTGCATACTTTTCTTTTTCCATCTTTCCCTTCCCACTTTCATACTTGGTTGAAAAAATGTGAACTTGTAGTTCCAGATTATTGCTTTTTCTATTCTAAACATCCATTTTAACAATTACTAAGCTTCATAATCACATTACAATTGTTCATAACCTTAGACATTAATTGGTTTCATTGCTCACAAAATTTTTTTTCTATAGGTTATCTTTCCTTCTTTCTTTTTTTGTCTTTCCCTTTCTTGAAATATTTAATGTGATTGAATTTCCTTTTGGCTGGAATACCTCAACAACAAGTAATTTAGTTATTGTATTTTTATTTTTGAGATCTTCAGTGTCTTAATTTGCATGTCCTTATTTTGCTGTCACACATAAAGGAACTTTTAGCTTGCTGTCAAATTCTGAGGTTGCAATCACAATTCTTTCATAAATTTCCAGCCTCTAGTGTTTCAGATGAGTAATTCTAATTATTTTTCCTCTGTGAGTAATCTGTTTTTCATTTACTAAGGATCCTTATATAATTTTTTTCTCTTGGAAATCATTGATAAGTTGTATTGAGTATAGATCTTTTTCTTTTTCCAGGAATACTCCATAACCATTGTTGATCTGAACACTCAAGTCTTCAGCTCAGTAAATTTGTCTTCTACTGTTTTATATATTGATTCCCTACTTATTTTTACTTTTACTAATATTGCTATATGGATGTTGGAACACCAAATACTTCCTGTATATTATCTTTCTCTTTTTTTTTTCTTTTTTTCCTATAAATTCTGTCACTTTGCCTTTTTCCTCACATATTCTTAGAGGGCTCCTTGAACTGATTTTCTAATCCATCAACTCCTATACACTTCTTTCAATGTTTTATTACCTGGATTGAGTTGTTTTGATTCCCCAGTATTCATGCTTTTTTTTTTTTAATTGCCAAAAGAGCTTAATATTCTCAGTATGCTTTTCCCTAACAGCCTTTTCTTAT